GAGCTGCGGGCTGAGCGGGAAGCGCTCTCCGAAGTGGGGCTGGCACAGGTGCCGTTGCCGCCCGGCTTCAGGGGCGCGTCGGCAGAGAAGAGGTCCGAGGGGGTGCTGGGCTGGTGGATGTCTATGGCGGCCGTGGTGACCACGCACACGGCTGGATCCGGGACACCGCTGTCTGCAAGACAGGAGGGGACGCCCGTCACCCTGCACCCTCTGCTAGGCCCCCGCAGACCGTGAGCAGGGCAGGGTGGCAGGGGGGAGTGCCACGTGCCGTCGTAGGGCATGCCTTTGCAGGGAGGCCCCCACAGATCTCTGACACTCACCGCCCGCCCCAAGGGATGACCGGCCTCCCCGTCCTGTTGCACTCAAACATGGACATGTGATATGAGGTGACCAGCCATCCGTGAGAGGGGACCTGTGGCACTCCTGGGTGGCCGGTCTGCCTGCAGTGTGGGGGTGATGGTGACACGGGCGGGGGTCTTGGTTGCTTTATTTAAACCACGCGAGGTGCGGTTATTTGCCACAGCATAAGCTAGCCCGTGCTGACTGAGAAAGCGGGGCGGCCCTGGCGGGGGGCTTGGGCTTTGCGGTGGGAGGAGAGCCCCTGGCCTGCCCCCAGGGGCATCGCAGGGCCGGCAGAGGACTCCCGGGAGCGCGGCGTGTGAAGGGGCTGAGCTGGGCGCAGTGGGGCGTTCTCCCCAAAGTTGTAGGAGACTGACTGGGGGAAGGTCTGGGCTAGGGGTGGGGCTCTTCCAAACCAGCAGACCCTCCCCTCCCTGGAGCAGGCTACACCCTGAGGGAGGCCAGGCGGGCCTCGGTGATGAGGCTGGGAGAGAGAGGGAAGCGGGAAGGAAAGAGCAGTTCAGTCCTCGCCGCGCCGTGGAGCTGCGAGAGCCACGTGTGGCTTCAGACGCTGCCCCGAGGAGCAGGGCGCCAGCGGGCTGGGCACTGGTGGAAACCTGGTCTTCCCGGAAGCTCAGCTTCCCTGGGACTTGTCAGGGACGAGGAAACAAATGGAGGGGGACGTGCTGGGACCCGTCGCTGTGTCATCTCAGCCTCCACCACGCTCAGCCCGAGAGGGCCTCAGGTCGGGGTGCTGAGGACCCCTGAGTCCGAGGTCCCGACCCCATTCCATTTTAGGGTCCACCTGTAGTTCCGCCAGTGATCGTGGAGCGCCACACCCCACACCGGTGTTCGCTGGACCTGAGCGCCAGGTCAGGCACCAGAGACGGCAGGCTGAGAGGTCCTCGCCTCGGGGTGGGCCGCCCGGCACACTCACCGCTGCTGGGCCCGTTGTAGTACTGGCTGATGTAGCTGTTCATGTCGTCTTTCACCGTGGCGTCTGAGGTGGGGCAGGGAAAGGGCCCGTCAGAGGCCAGGGGCAGGGATGGTGCCGCGTGCCGCCTCCACCCCCAGTGCTCCGTCCCTGCCCCGTTGCCCAAGAAGAGGCCCCTCTCTCGCAGCCCTCTGCCTGTGTGTGACAGCTCCTCCCAGCGCTCCGCGGGCCACAGGCCTCATCTGCCCCAGGGGTCGCAGGGGAGCCCAGGTTCTGACAAAGCACCTGCCTCGGTCCCCGGTCTGACCCTTTCCGTCTCTGTCCTCAGTCTCCCTGTCTGGATGGCCTGAGGGTCTGAATGCACTTGTGGTTCTCAGGGTCACCAGAAACGCAGCCCTCAGCAGAGGCCTCGAAATCTCATTTGCAGAAACTGGCAGCCCCCGGGGCTGGCATGTCGAGGCAGTGCCCAGGCCCGGTCCAGCTGAGGGCGCGAGCCGTCTACACGGTGCAGGAGGGATGCAGGGGTGGTGCTGCTGGGATGCCCATGGTTCCTGCGATGTCCAGGGTTCAGAAGAGCCACTGAATGAGGCGCACGTGGGGTGCGAGGCTCTCAGTCATGGTGATGGCAGCCCTGGACCTTGGACTGGTGCAGGGTGGCCAAGAGTGGGGAAGGCAGGCCATGGCAGACCCCAAAGCCACCTGGAGAGCTCAGCCGGCCCTAAGGGCGTGGGCAGCGCCAGGTCGGCTTGGTTCAGAGGCCACTCCCAGCATAGGAGAGTGGTTTGGAAGGGACCGGACTTCAGTCAGGGAGACCGGGATGCCCCGGTGAGTGATGACAGGCCCTGGGGTGGGAGGGTGGAAGCCAGTGGCAGAGGGAGGGAGTAAGTGATAATTAGCAGGACAGAACCCTCAGCTCGGCTCTGTGACTTGTCAGACAGCTTCGCTCCCAAGGCCCCGCCGTGTGGAAGGGTCAGGATTCGGACCGGATCTGAAACCTCAGCTCTGCTGGACCAGCTAAGACGCCCTCTGAGCCTCTGGGCCTTGCCTGTATGTGGGGACGATGACACCCACTGCCCAGAGCTGTCGCGGAGAGGAGGGAGCTCCGAGCTGAGTGAGGGTCCCACAGCAGGGTCCATGTCAGGCACACGACCAGCCGCACCCAAGGGCTTGACCGTCCTCTCCTACGGGCCCTCTGCAGTCTGCAGACAACCAGGACTGATGGTTCTGGGCTGCCCTCCCAGGCACATCTGAGCTGCCAGAGCCCATCTCCCGGCAGTCGGAGACCGCGGGCAGCACACGCAGGCCTGGCTCTGAAAGCCCTCCCGGCCGCTGGATCTTCAGATGCCGGTGGTCAGAGGTGCTCTGCATGAATGCTGGGTTGAGGGCCCCGGGCTGGCTCCAGGCCTGCTCAGGGATCAGCCAGCAGCATGCTTCGCAGTGCTCCTAATGCACGGCGTGATCTGGCTAGCCTTGCGGGTCCCCCAGAAGCAGAAAGGGGCTGCTCCCACGAGCAGGGGGGCTGCAGAGACAGGCAGGAGGGTCTGGTCACTCACTTTGATTTTACTCTGAGGCCTGCAGGGGCTCTGGAGGGTCTGTGAGCTTGGCAAGAGTACCCGCAGCCCCACGGAATTTCATCATGACGGG